TAGCGAGAGATTGGTATTTTTGAAAAATTAAATCATATCCATCTAATTTCAGAAGAATTTACGGAAACACGATATGGGAGTAGCGTCAGTCTGTTGAAAGTTTGCTTGTTTACATGACAAGGTAAAACAATTGTTTTCAAAAACAAATGACAAATCTAGTGTCTTCCATTTCTTCGAAATGTTATTTTTGTTATTATTGAAGCTTGAACATGTTTACCATAAGTTCTTTATACACATGAATATTTGACACACGTTTGTCATCAATCTAGCGCGAATTTCTTCTTGAATGTAACTGGTTGAAAGCTTCCAAATGGGTTAAGCACAGTATTTCTTTTCACAGAAATTTCACGTTTTAAATAAAGCATATGGCCAGTGAAATTTCTCTGCTCTAACCAAATAATTCGGCATCAGGTTACTGGGTTTTTAGCAGATTTTCGATTCTCGTCCAAGTCAATGACAACCAGCGTTCATTAGCCAGTTGCCCTCCCTGATCTGTCCCGTGCGGCAGTGGTCACACTTGGTACATGTATCAATTTTTACCAATACCTTTCCGTCATAACGTTTTATTTTGGCTATACGGCCATCAAAGTCACCACAGAACCTTGATATGACGAAAGGGTGATGTAGGGAAGGTAATAACAGCGAGGTGACTTTGATGTAAACTGAGATATTATGCCATTACCGTCCAATTCGAGTAAGCTCCATACCATCAACATAAATCGCTCACATTCATCATTTACCATACCAGAGGAAATATAAGCGTCAGGGTTTTTGAAAAGTGTTGTCACTACATATATATTGTCGAATCCTTTTAGCTTATTATATTCTTTGTTAAAAAAAACAAATCATGTATGCAGATACACCTTTTTTAGGACACAAAAGTGAGATTCCCAACGGTTATATGCTTCATTTTGTGAGGGATGAACAGACAGCGTTATCCTATGCGAACGTCTTATTTACAGTAGGGGTATCTGGATCCCTTTAACGCAACTCATGGCAGAACATTTTACAGAGAGCTCAAACTTCTCAAAAGTAACTAGCGATGATGGCTAGAACTTCTGTTTCACAAAACATGAGAAATAATCTGAGAATAAAAAGCATTGAACAAATAGCTGAACTGATAATTATGTATCATATCAATGAACTTAGCATAAGAATTGAAAACTTTGCCCTCTGAAATCAGAAAAGAGGTGACAATGTCAATAATTGGTTGAAACAGAACACGAAACAAAATGGCACTCGTTGTGGTATGTGAGGTTTTTCGAAATGATGCACAACACATCACTAGTTCACACACTCAATTGGTTACTGGAACAGGTGATGGGAAATTTGATTTTCATGTAGTATAATTGTGGCGACTCTAACTAGAACGATGGTGATTTCCTCGAATCTTGCAGCTATGTAGAGTTAATTTTTCTGGCGATGACAAAGTATCTATGTTTTTCTGTTGACGGCCCTAATATGTGATAGCGTCGTAGGTCACTGAGGACGAGAGCAAATCGAGTATTCAGAGAGGTCAACTGACAAAAGACAGAGAAATACAATTTGTAAGTCAAAATTTGGTTTGTCAGCATGCTGCAATATGGTCTCTCTAAAAAACAGACGGTTTCGATAAGTTTTGTCTTAGATCTCCCACCTATACAGTTTAGTACGGCTGTTTGAAAATGTGTTATAAAATTCGCTAATACTTACTGTGGTTTCAACTTAACTTATCATCAGATGTGTTCAAACAGTCATCAAGAAGAAGGTGTAGAAACTAGGCAGAAGTTGAAGGCGTTTGTCGTAGTGCAAAATTCGTCACAATTACAGTAGATTAAGAACCAAGTTTGCCAAAAATTACCCATGTCACTAACATCTATGAGTCTTGACAGTATTAAAACACGTGTTACGAGTTTCATGATAAGTAAGCAGAAGTGGGAGTCGACATATTCCTTTTCTAGTGTATTATTACCACCTGTCGTATGTTTGAATGTCGACTTCATAGATCAACATTCGCGTACCGTGCTACGTGGCCTTCACAGCAGCCAGTCATCTCAAGTTAAACAACCCACGTCATATCGGATATTTTCTGAATATATCTTCGGACTCCGTCATTTCTTTCCTGCCGTGTGATGATTGATGTAGAGTCCACACGATCAATAACTCATTCTCCACTTAAGGTACAGGGAACAAAATCAAGAGACTCAAGCACTTGTGTCTTTAGTCGAGATGGGCGTTATAGACTAGATTCGAAGTTCGTCCTTCTCAGATAATACAGACCTCCGACGTTAAGTCTTATAATCAAATACTATGGTTTTGGTCACCTCTGGATCTGTTAACCCAATTAAATCTTATGTAGTTAAAATAGAAGTTGACTGAATGTGTCACACGAAATTCAAATATTTGTTATGAACGTAGAGACACTCAACGAAAACAAGATTTATTCGATTAGGAAAAGCAACTGTATTCTTCTTAATAGGGTTCTGGACAGGATAAAGTGCTTTTTGAGTCACTCATAATCAATGATAATACGAAACCACATATTACATGAGGAATATGTGCACGTTTTTAAGTTAATAATAACAGATTACCTCAAAATATAAAGTGATTTTGCATTTTCCCTGACCACCATAATGTGAAAAGATATCCTGACACGAAGTGATGTACTGGACGCCAAAAAGTGGTACATAAATACATCTGTCAAGTAACTAAGAATCAGCTGGATTATTTCTAATGATGCAATGTTAAATCCATTCTTGTAAGAAACCAATTTAAATAAGAGGTGTTTTCAATTAACTGTTGAGATCGGAGAACACATTGTGAAAAGTCCGGTATCATATAAAAACGAAACTAGATTATAATTGCTGGTCTTAATCAAAGTCGTATAAAGGGTGTATCATCAAAGGAGACTGTGGACTTTGAAAATATGATTGCACAAACCCTAGATAGAAGTGGTCATACGAAACGGGAATAATTCAGGAAGTGACAGTATTATCAAGCGGTGCATTTTAGAGGGGTTCTCAAAATAATCATTCTGTTTCACTGAACGTTTAAATTCATGCATTTTTAAATTGAGTTGGTCGATTCTAGATACGCGATCTCACGAATATGGTCAAGAGGAATCAAATACTGGAGAATTTAACAATACCGGTATATGAGTATCTTCCTACGAAATACTTGAAAATTCAACCGAAGGAAGCAGTGAATATTGTTAAGAAAAACCTACTTTGTTATACATAGAGTCGACGCTATTTGCGAACAGATTATAAACAGATTAGTTGTCAAAAGAGATGCTTGACACAAAGAGTTGAAATGATATGGATTACTAATCCAAAGCACCGTGCCTTCAGTTAAGCTCATATTCGCACTCTAATTGTTACTGCTAATTTTAAAAAGTCTTTTGGCAGTGGATCAACAATATCTCCAGGCAAGGACCTAGGTATATTAACGATAATAGAGGAAAAAAGAATTTGGTAAATCAAAATAATGTTATCCTTAGTTCTTAAGAATAGGTCAAGTTGCTTCTTGAAGGACTCCTGGGAAATCGCTTGGACTAGCTCAGTTGTCAGCGAGTTCCAGCATTTGACAACTCTTAGGAGTAGGAATTGTGTCTACAGTCCGTTCTGCAATGTTGGGTCTCCAGTTTTTGGGTATTACCCCTTAGGCTGGTCTTATGACTTAGCTTAAGTGGATGTTTAAAGGGATGACCGGAAGTGTTAAGTATACTGTAAGCCATTATAAGGTCACCTCTAAGACGCCTATAATCTAACGGGTAAAGGTTAAGTGATTGAAGGCGCTCTTTATAAGGTTTGAATTTGAGTCCCCGAACTGATTTCGTGGCTCAATATTGGATACGTTCCAAAGTGTCCTTATCCTTTTGGAGTGAGGAAGGAAATATTATGTTTCCGTACACTAAATGGGGAAGAATAAAACTGTTGAAGTTTATGTGAAAAGTTCTGCTGTCAAACTGGCCGAAGATACGCTTCAATGTCACCAGTGCAAGGTTTTCTTGAAAAGCGTTTTTGTCACAGTTAGCGTATGACTTCAGGTCGTGGGATACCAACTCTCCTAAATCTTCTTCGAGTTTGGAAACTTCTAGAGAGGAGTTTCCTAAGTTGTAACTGTAGTCTGCAACATGTCTCAGATGGAGTATTTACACTTTGAAGTGTTGAAGGTAAGTCCGTTGTCGTCTGCGCTCTTTCGAAGTCAATTCAGATCTTCCTGAAGTGCCAGTATATCCTCTAGGTTGCGTATCGATGTCTAAAGTTTCACATCATCAGCAAAAAGCAATGAGTCAGACGATACTTGTTGTGGGAGATCGTTTATATAAATCACGAAGAGAAGATGTCCTAGTATTGAACCCTGGGGAACTCCACCAAGACATTCCATAGCCTGAGAAAAAGTGAAGTTAACCCTGACCTAAAATGTTGATTTTTTAGATATGAAGCGAGCCAGGTAATCAGAGGTGGTTTGATGCCCAATCGTTTAAGCATGTTGATTAGACATGTATGGTTGGCCTTATCAAAAGCTTCGGAGAAATCAAGGTAAATAACGTCAACCTCCTCCTTACGATCAAGGATGGTTGTGCATCTGTTCACTGCAGCCAGCAGGTTGGTTATACAATAGTGACACTCCTTGAGACCATGCTGTTGGGGTGAGAAGAACTTTAGGGATAACAAGTAGTCGTGTATACCATCGCATATCAAAGACTCCATAACTTTAGAGGGTATAGGGAGAAGGGCCACCGAATGGTAGCTGGAGGGTTCGCTGAGTCGACCTCTTTTGAAAATTGGTGTGGTGTGAGCCAGCTTCCAAATTTCCGGTAGTTTGCCTCTGCTTAGCGATTGTGAAAACATCACGCTGAGCGGTGATGAAATGTAATTGCAGTCGAAGCTCAAAAACACAGTCCTACTGATATTCTTTGGTTATAAGACCACAAACACTGTACGAAGTTCAAAGTGGCAAGAACCTCTCGTGCTACTATGTAAACTTGGTGTAGATATTTGCATTTCCGCGTTTCTGAAAATGGTAAAGGTCATTCAGGTCAAGGTCAAAACGTAAATCTGGTATTTCGACAAATTTAATAAGAATGTTGTTCCGAGGTTTAACATCAATAATCTTGGTAGTTGAATCGTAGTTTAATATTACTATTCCAGGCTAACAAAACAGGATTTGTGTCCCTCACTAAACGTGCCAAGCGATTTCACCTAGTAAGTGATATTTGGTTTTGTGTTATTCAATCATTATCCAATGTTCCAGTTTTTCCTAATATTAATATATAAAATAATCAGTTTGCATGTACGATCAGGTTTATTTCTCACATATTTTGTCCCTGTCAGCTCATACACGGTAGGTCACGGCAACTTTAACGACCTAACTATCACTACAACCCTGAGAATTCGGCACTTGCATATTCTGTACTTCATCAAGGAAATTTGCTATTATAGTGTTGTGCTAAGTTATTGTTTCAAGCATTTCTTCCTAGTTGCAAAATAAATCATGGAATTTTACTTTTGTTATTGGTCTATTAAGTTTTCACACGTAGGTATCAACGACTCTGACGTTATATGTAGTCCTGTTTCAAGCTTTTTAAAAAAAATAAAACATTCTAGTTTATCAGTAGTCGGTCGTTATGTGAACTATTTGAGTTATAGCCATCTCAACTTTCGAACTGTAATCTTCAACTGTATCGATGGGTCATGGGCTAACCAACCAGTTTCTAAGGTAAAAAAGCTGAGGTTCTTGTGTCTTAATTTTTCAGTAAGCGGATGCTCTATGTGTCCTTTTGCGAGTCCTAAAACCTGTAGCAGCTACTAGTCTCTAATGTGTTGTGATTGTTAAGTACTGACCGTTTTTTATTTTGATTTCTTCGAATTCATAAACATTGGGATGGGGGGCACAAAATATTCATGCGTTTCTCAATAAGAATATTGTCAAGGGATAGGAAAAAGGAAGTGTCATAAAAAAAGAACAATAAATAGAAATTAGCTTATGAGAGTGAAATAGTAATAATGGGAGAAGCAGTTTATTCGGAATAAAATCAACCAGAACGAACATTTTTAATCGAAGAAGTTACTTTTACTTTTATGAAGAAAGTAAAAGAAAGTTACAGCAGTATCGCTACTGGCTTTAATTATGAGCCATGTTTGATAACATTTCAAGTCACTGTGTTGCACCATCTTTAGGACCCCAACCAGAGAGTCATGAAGAACCAACAGAAGCCAGTCCTGTATAGCTTTCATGACATTGCACCATTTCGTGCTTTCTCTACGTCTCCGCTTTTTCCAACCAGTCACAGTGTCGGCAAATAATGCGTGAAGTGGAATTCTCTGGGACCGAATTCGTAAGACATTTCCAAACCACTGAAGCCGGTGGTGTAAGATAGTGATACAAACTGAATTATCATCTTTGTGCCCGAACACACGATGCCGAACCTCTGCATTGCTAACATGGCGTTGTCACTGAATGTCCGAAATTCTTCGGAGACAGCGATACTCAAACAGAGAGTCGTCTAACATTCTGAACTCGGAGAGGCCAGGTTTCACAGGTGTAGAGCAAACCTGTTCTTACGGACGCGTTGTAGACGGAACCCCTATCTGCTCTCAACCCAAACGTTTAGAACGATGGGCGGAACACTTTAAAGAGCAGTTTAGATGGCCTTCAGCTACTGCACAACTACCCACTATTCCCAGAAAACCTGAATGGGACATTGAAGTAGGCCCCACGACCCTACTTGAAGTTCAAAATGCTATAAGTAATCTGAAACGAGGAAGAGCAGCTGGTTCAGTTGGATTGGCTCCAGAGGTCTTTAAATATGGTGGTCCGATGTTAGCGATTAGGTTGACTAATATTCTGGCTAAAATCTGGGAGACGGACGTAATCCCATCTGACTGGTCACAATCTCTGATTGTCCCAATATATAAGAAGGGGCCAAAATCATCCTGTTATAACCATAGAGGGATTAGTCTGACTAACATAGCATCTAAAATACTAGCCTCAATAATTATTGGGCGCCTAACTAAGACTCGTGAACTGCAAACACGAGAAAATCAGGCTGGCTTCAGACCTGGTCGTGGCTGTATCGACCACATATTCACCATTCGTCAAGTTTTAGAGTACAGACATGCTTATCGGCGTCCGACAATGATAGTTTTTTTTTGACTTGAAAGCAGCATTTGAATCTGTAGACCGAGAGGTTCTGTGGCAGTGTCTGTCAATGAAAGGTGTACCTCAGAAGTACATAAACCTTGTGAAGGCTCTTTACTGGAATACTACCAGTCGAGTGAGAGCTTATGGCGAACTGTCATATGATTTTACAACCTCAAGTGGTGTCCGTCAAGGCTGTCCACTATCCCCATTTTTGTTTAACTTCATTATAGACCTGTTGCTGGAAATAGCACTCTCTTCGACTGAATTTTCAGGAATTGATCTCGTACCAGGAGGTTCACTTATCGACTTAAAATACGCAGATGACATAGACCTGTTTGGTGAAGACGCTGGCAAAATGCAGAGTCTCCTGTTAGAACTGAGTAATAATGCCAGGATGTTTGGGATGCGTTTCTCCCCATGCAAATGTAAATTGTTACTCCAGGACTGGCCTGCGTCAACACCCGAACTAAGGATAGGGAGTGAAGTAGTCGAACGCATGGACAACTTCACTTATCTTGGAAGTCTGATCAGCCCTAATGGGTTGGTTTCTGACGAAATCTCAGCACGGATTCAAAAAGCTCGTTTGGCTTTTGCCAACTTACGTCACCTATGGCGAAGACGAGATATCCGTCTATCAATTAAGGGACGAGTATACTGCGCAGCAGTTCGCTCTGTTCTACTTTAAGACAGCGAAACGTGGCCATTAAGAGTAGAAGATACTCGTAGGTTACTAGTATTTGACCACAGATGCCTTAGAAATATTTCTCGCATCTGCTGGGATAACCGGGTAAGTAATAGTGAGGTAAGACGTAGGGTATTAGGGAATGATGGTAAATCAGTTGATGGGGTGATGAATCTTCATCGACTGAGATGGTTGGGCCACGTGTTACGTATGTCTGAACACCGATTACCACGACGCGCAATGTTGACTAGTGTAGGGGATGGTTGGAAGAGAGTTAGGGGCGGCCAAACCAAAACATGGCATCAGAGTTTGAAGTCACTAACTTCTAGTCTGAGCCATGTTGGTAGATGCAGACTACCTGGTTGGGGTCCGCGTGACTATCGTAACCAATGGTTGGATACTCTGGGTGACATGGCTCAGAATCGATCACAATGGTGTAGGTGTATACACTCTTTATCTTCCCTTAAACCATGAGATTAAAATTGCTTCATAAATTTTTTCCTTCCTATACTATATCCTTATATACAACCTTTCTTTATATACTACCACCACTAAATTAATTACTTCTATGAATCCGGTGTTGATCTTGTTGTGCTAACGAGGTATGGCAACTTGGACCGTTGCATATATGTGCCTGGTCCTACGTTGTCACTGACTGACTGACGCGTTGTAGATCCAACTTTTTACAGCCAGGCTAACATCAAGAAGGCGCCAAAGATAGGCCAGTTTGGCACAGGGCGCTCTGGCTTTCACCATACATAAATTGATCTCATCACTCACTCTACCAACACCTCCACAGCTACCTAGATACACGAACTCGACTATTTCTATCTGCTCACTACCCAAAGTGAATGCAGGGTCTTGTCGGTCTTGTAGAATTACTTTGCAAGGCGCATGCCAGACCTACGGACACTGACTGCCAACTAATTAAATGAGGATTACGTGGCCTGGGGCAGTGAGACAATATCGTCCGTATACCCAAGATCGAGAAGTGTTTCTCCAGGAACAGATCCACACCACCATTATCTACATCCAACATAGTTGTTTCCAGAACTCCTTTGATGGCAAGGTTGAAGAGGAATGATGAGATTGAGAAACCCTGCCTATCCCCACTACCTGAATGAGGCGGTGGAGAGTGTTAGTTGTGTACCCTCATCCTGCCTAAAGTGTTTGTATATAGGGCTTCCGAGATGTTAATAAACTTCCCTGGCACACCCTTCTTCGATAGGCAATCTCAGAGGACAGTCCTGTCCATCGAATCGTAAGCGACGCTGATGTCAAGAAACACTACGATTGTTGACCGTAGACGTCTTCGTATCATTCTTCGCGTTCGATGGAACGATCGAGTGAGTTTAGGTGAATGGTAATAGATAAATCGGTCGGTCTTAATGAGTCTTCGTCGATCGAATTAGTTGATTTGAAGGAAACTAGGGGCGGCCAAACTAAGAGGCGTCGTTGGCTCCCTGATTTAGTTATGTTTATAGGTGCAGTCTACCTGGTTGGAGTTCACATAATGGCCACTATTCGTGGTTAAAAGCGCTAGCTCAAAACTATCAGTAGTGACTTCGTCCACTTCTAAACCCCTTGTGCTACCTGAAAGTCAACTACTGTTGAACTTATCAATCTACTTTTAAACCCAAATTGAGTCGTTTTTGGTTCAACTCTCTTCATTCTTGTGGTGAGTGATAGATCTTTAGACACATTCTCACCAGTTTACTGCAGTTTGTCTATTTCTCAATATTAAATATTTTTCTTATCCAGACTTAAAAATTACCTTCTGTAATTATGCCCTGTTTGTCCCTTAATCTGTTGTTCAACTACCTGACCTATAAATCTTAAGAATTAGCAATTCCGCTAACTTTAGTAGGAAATGAGTTATTGTGTTACTCTACTTTCTCTCACTTATTGGAAGCCAACTTTTGAACCTAAATCCTTACTCCTCGATTCTATGATCACTCTTGTGTTTCTTAACTTTTTGGGAACACTTATAAGTGAAATGCCACGGATGTTTGAGCAGTGTTTTTGCACATTCTAATGCATCCTGCCCTGTTAAGCCTTTTAAATATTTCGAATGTGAAATCTGTTCGGAAGTTAGAGTATTAGCCTCTAGCCTTACCATAGTATATGCAGCTTTTCCCCATGGAAAAACAACACGGTTGTTGATAGAAAGGTTTCATAACCATAGCTCAAAAGATAGTAATTTGTATTATAAAAACTAAAGGTTGTTGGGAAAGTGAATTAATTTATAATTGAACTATCAGGTTAACAAGTACAAACTGAAAACTACCATAAAATCTGATATTCTTCCTGATTTTTTAATTGAATTCAATGAAAGCAAAAACAGTAGGCTTTACTACTTTAAAAGGGTCAAGACTAAGAAAACTGATCAAAAAAGAAGAAATACCAATCGTTTTTAAAATAGGGGTTTTGAGCTGAAAATTTGTGTTCTGAGATGGTCAATAAAATTTGTTGCGCAGGTGGATAATTTTGGTGTGGTTTCTTTAAACTGGATGGCTTAGTTGTCAAGCATTCTTTGTCCTTTTAAACATCGTTATGATATTGTTTTTAATTTCTTGTACAATTCAGAGTACTTTGTCAAATGCTGAGGAGAAGAAGACTGTTACCCTCCTACCTGGTGATGGTGTATGGCCAGAACTCTTCGTTTGTGTAAAGTCAGTTTTTAAAGAATTCAATGTACCTGTTCAGTTTGAGGAGGTGAACTTTGGGTAAGAAATAGATTGGTAGCATATTTGATTTTTCCCCTCAGATTTAGCGATAATTTAGATCCAAATGGTGGTCTCTATAATGCTGTCAACTCTGTTACAAAAAACAAGGTTGCTTTAAAAGGAATTGTTCGTACACCTGTCGAAACTCAGGGATCTAGTGCACTTAATCTAAGAATGAGGTATGTCTTTGTTTCTGATCAACTAAGAGCTATATTTTTACAGTTTATCCTTTTTTCTGTCGTGTTTACAATGTTGACGTTTATGTCTCTATTGTTAACAGTAAATTGACAACAGCTTGCTTTTTTTATGATCATATTTTATGTAAAGTGATTTCCTGTACTGATTGCCGAAAGATGAAAAATATTCGGTTTTATTCCTTAAGGCGATTTAGACTAGAAGGTGCCTTAAGTATGAACTCGACTATTTGTTGGATTACTTAGTATAAACATTTGTCAAATAAATGGGAATTGTATACAAAGTGGTTTCCTTCCATACTTGCTCATTTAGAGAATCGTTTTACTAAATTCAAGATACTTAACTGAAGCTTTCTCGTAATTTTTGAATACATTATTTATGTAATACAATTTGATTCTTTTTTCTGTAGATAGTTTTATATCAATTCTGGCACCAATTAGATATTATAATCTTATTGATGTCTATTATTTCTGAAGAATTTCTTGTAGTTAGTTAAATAAAAATACCAGATTTGCATTATCATCAAGCATCAAGGTAGGTTTGCTGGTCCTTCAAAAGTTGTCGTTTTCGGTTGTAATGTACTTGTTCTTCTTATCGGTGAAGTTCTTGAGGTTTAATTGACATCAATAAAGGATGCTATTGTCATTTTGAAGTGATGGAGGATATTTGTAGCTCATGCTGAGGATTTTGAAGTTATTGTGATCCCTGAAAGCTCCACAAGCAATCCATCCAGCTTTTGTCGTTTGCTAAGATATCTAGTTACTTAATGTCAATGAATAAATATTTCAGAAAATAATCGTAGTTATTACTAATCTTGTTAGTTTGGTGCTTGCAATAACATTCTAGCCAGTTTAAAATTTCTGTTTATATCTTGGGAAATCACAAACTAGTTATAGAAATACTTTTCATTGTGACTCCACACGAATACCATAGTTTAATAAAATACACGATATTTTAATCATAACTTGTGCGTTTATTTAAAAAGTCGCTTTTCAGGCATTTGGTAGTAGTTAATTAAGCAAAGTTAACATGTGGAAGTGAAAATAAGTTTTTTCTCTTTATCTTTTGCACCAAGCAATTATTGAAAAAAATAAATGATTGTTTTAAAGTGGTTTGTTCTCGATACTGACTACATATGCTAATAAGAAATAGAAAGAAAATGTTTCCGTGTACAAATGTTCTGAATATTTGCAGTTTCATTCATAAGTATTTATACATTTCATATGATAGCTGATACATTTTTGCAAAGCAATTACCACGGTAATTGTATTATATTTAAATTATTTCTTTTCGAAAGTGCCTACTTCGGTGATAAATCGCATTTTTCATTGTTTTATTTATTTGTTATAGACGAGCTTTGGATCTGTTTGCCAATGTTGTTCATATTCGTACGTTGAAGGGGATCCCAAGCTTTCATCAAAATCTTGATTTAGTCATCATACGTGAGCAGATAGAAGGAGAGTATTCATCACTGGAACATGAATCTGTTAAGGGAGTAATTGAGTCCTTAAAAATCATAACACGAAGTAACTCTGAACGAATCGCAAAATTTGCATTTGATTATGCTGTCCGCAATAAGCGTAGGAAAGTTACTGCTGTTCATAAAGCTAACATTATGTAAGTGTTCACTTATATTTATGTATTTACTTCCAAATGTTTTGACAATATTAAATGGTCCCTGTTCAAAACGTGTACTTATACCTTGTTGTTTGTAATTCATATACAAAGATAAGGTGATAAGTGTTATATTTTAAAATATATTACTATTATTCCTCGTTACGAACAAAAGGTGGACTGCTAACTCTAAGTCCTCACAATTATACAAGACGGACACAAGAACACAGACTTCCTCAAAAGGGCTTATAAAACTTAATATCCAATTCAGTAGTGCACACAGATTTAAGGATTTTGAGAGAGTGAGTAGCCTATGTATTTATTTAGGTCATTGTGTATTACAAAGACACATATACGCTGTCTTGTCAGCTAAAATCTTACGGTGGACTACATTGGTAAGGTAGCGGTTTTTTAAGGGATCTACCTGTTTCAGTCTGTTGACCTGAGGGGTACTACAGTTATTAAACATGGAAATCTAAAGTTAGCCAAACGGGGTTTAGTGGATAACACACCGTTGTGATATACATTTTTAAACGTACTTATTTTTTAATTTTAATATTTATCTAAATAAAGGTCCATTAAATATATCGCTACTGTATTTTCAATATTATTTTGTTAATTTTTTACTCAGGAAATTAAGTGATGGTTTATTTCTCGAGACTTGTCAAAATATGGCCAAACTTTATCCACATATTCAGTTTAATTCAATGATTATAGATAATTGTTGCATGCAACTGGTCAGTAATCCTGAACAATTTGATGTGATGGTTATGCCAAACCTATATGGTAACATTGTTGATAATCTTGCTGCTGGTTTGGTCGGTGGTGCTGGGGTTGTACCGGGTGTATCATATAGTCATGAAGTTAGTTTGAGTTTCAAATACTTATTCATTTTATGTGGTTGATTAGTGCTTGTCCCCATGGTAGTTCGAAGTATATTTCGAAGCTGTTATCTATGTTTTATACTTTTGAATGTTAATGATATGGCACTCTGAAAGTAAATTTACACATCCTTTAGGGCTTGTATACAATCTATTCAGCAACATAATTATAATTTGTTAACCTAAATTTATCTGGTATCTGTGAAATGAATTTTAATCTCTACAAAAGTTGAACCATTCGGGTTCTACTCAATCATTTCCAACCATTAAGATATTTTGTTAAATAAGGAGGTGCATTGCACGTAAAGATTATTATTATGAGCTTGAACTTGACGGTTTACATTTGCTAGGGATTTTATGGAGTATGTGACTTTTCTAGAGTAAAATTAAGATTCAGTTTAACTACAAGTGAAATAGTGCGTATACAAGAAAACGTACTTACTCAAATAAGACATCTGTATGTACTCAAGGTTTGCTATTCGATGAATTTACTTTTATTGTTAGACTTTATTGATAAGCATGGTCATAGAAGAAGAGCGATGACAGTGTATTCATAGTTCATCGAATGGACTATACATTTTATATGAATATATTAGTTAGTAGTCATTACAATTTGTTTATTTACCTATTGAAGCATTGAATATGGAATTCACTTTGTACGGGCGTATTTCTTTTAGTAAAAACATATCATTAATAAAAATTCAAATATTAGAATAGAATGATTACAATATTTACCTTATATTCTTTATATTATTTCGAAAATGAAGCCAATGATGAGTAGTATTTTAATGGATTTCTTTAAACAATTTTAATTATAAATTCAAAACTTAGAGGATAACAATAGTCGAGTATTTTCAGTGACTTATTTCATATTAAAATGTTATTCTTCTTTGTATTTTTAGTTCGCAGTTTTTGAACCAGGCACTAGACATTCATTCAATTTGGCATCAGGCAAAAACATGGCTAATCCAACAGCAATTCTATTAGCCAGCGCAAACTTATTACATCATATCAATTTAGAAAGTTTTGCTAATAAAATTGAAACAGCTTTACTTAAAATTATTAAATCTAAGAAAGCATTAACTTCTGATATCGGTGGTTCTTCATCTACAACTCAGTTCACAGAAGCAGTTCTAGAACAAGCTCATATTTCTTAATTATATCATACAAAGACTACTCTAACTTTTAACTTAAACAGTTATCTATTAGACATATGCTTTTTGTATAGTAGTCATAAGTTTGAATCTAATTTTAACTTATGACTAGTATTATAGTTCCTTTGTACTGTGTATCAGACAGTCAGTAGATTATTACTATTGTTAATGATAGTAAAATAAGCCGCTGACATATGTTAAAATGTTATGCTTGTAAATAACTAAACATTTACAATTTTTTTATTATTTTCAAGACAGTATCGTTGTTCTGTTGCACTGAAACCAATCTAACTTTCTAAATTCAAGTTGAACCCTTCTCACTCATAGTTGATCCGAAATCGATGGCCATTCATTTTCCATTATTTTAAAGCTTGCTTCATATATATATATATATATATATATATATATATATATATAATAGTTTCAAATAGTTATTTTCATGTAAATTAAATCTCTGAAGTTCAGTACTCTTTAGTTACTCTTTTTTGTTCACTAAAGGAGTTAGAGGATTTTAATCCATATCTAGCAAAATGTATGTGCTAGTAAATGATCATCTAATGATTTATTTGTGACATGAATACCACATCATCTAACGGTTTTGTAGTTGAAATTAGAAGAAAAAAGGTGTTTGGATGTATCGCTTTTGACGCCAGCTTTATTTAAAAGCTCACGAACTGTGTAGCTACTTAAATTTATTAAAATCCTAATTATGTAAATATGTTGAATGGGCAAAATCTGGTGCAAGCATATCTTTGCCAATTATTGAAGGGTTAATAGTGAAGCTAGCATACAGAACAGATGGACTGGTTCCATCCATGGCATCCCGTTACACTCTAAAGGGATACTAGAAAACTGTAAGTATGGAGTCAGTCGTGTAGAGGTTGGATGGTGAATTATAAATTACGGTTATCTGTAAACATTTATGTTCTGTAGATGATATAAAGATTAATGAAAAGTGTAAGTCGAAATAGATTCGCATATATTGGTTTGAGAACTGTACGTATTTAGTAGCTTTCTTATTACCTAAGAAACGTATCTTTAAAACTCACACTTTAAGATTTAAGTAAATAGGTATAATTAGATGTCTGAGAGACATAAACGCTGTGGGATGTTTATTGGTCTTATTTGTAACCTTACCATATTGACATAACGAGACAAATATCTAGAGAGATCGAAGTAATATTAACAGCGATAATAGGGAAAAATAAACCTTGGGAATATAATTCGAGAAGACTATGGAAAAGTATTTATGAAAAAATGCACAAGTTGAAGGTAAAAAGTGAATAATTCCAAGTTGTACTATCGGAAGTTTTCGAATCATTGATTGTGGCTATCACGACCACCTCAATCATGTAGCTTGCATCGACCATTCGATGGATCTGCGCAACAAAACTGTTTCGAGAATAAGAAAGATAAATTCGACTCAGAAATCATTGCAAATTATATGATTTACTATTTGAATGTGATTTTCATCAATTGATAATGACTAAACAACTATCGACCACTGGACTTCTGTCGGACCCTAATTTGGAACTCGTAAGAAATAAGCACCCACAACCCTATCTGTTATCATGTCCATAACAAATCTCGGGTGACCTTGAGAATACTAGCCAATCAGGAAACAGTATGGAGTAAAAATATATACAGAACTAATGAATTAAAGTGAATACACTTCTTTTACATGGTCCAAAGATTTGTCAAGGTTAGAAAGAGGTTCTGAAATCGTAATACATAAGGGAGAGGAATCCATCCATTATATTCGGTCTCTGGAGCCATGATAAGTTCGCAAAAACTCTCAGCCTCGACTACATGGCTTCAATATTGTTTGTGTGTACTGCGGTTGTCTAAGTGTGTCATTTTTATTACCCATATGTCCCCGCGATACTAATACCATTGAACAGCCGAAGCTTCAGTAACATCTGCGAATATTGCAGCCAATGTTATTGGTGCTTTTACTGTACAATTCGCAGCAATTATTATAATTTGCCTTAGTCTCAATCTGGATCGAGCGAAAATAGTTCCTATTCTAGCAGACGTTTTCCTCCAACATATATTACATCGAAGGACAATATCACGGTAGTCTAGACAGGATCTACAAGTCTTTCGATTACCGCAATTACACATAAAGGAACTTCTTAGTAATCCCACTTATTGTAGGCGCTTAATTGTCACGTCTTCTCTGAAATCCTCTGTGAACCGATTGCATATGAGCATCAGGTACTGAAATTGGCTCCGCGACCTAAAAATCCTTTGAACACTTCTGATTGGCTCGTCCATAAATTATGGTATCGCCCTTTCCGGTCTCAGTATGGGCAATACATATCGATCACTAAGATGAAATCTAACGGTTCGCATTTTTAATTCCAGTCGACCTGTGATGCATTGAGATCTGTAACTATTGTCATCATAAATAACTGTTACTTTCAACATGGTCAATTTCAGCAGTTTTTCCGTATGACTTCTGTAAATCGGTCACGAACTATCCCACAAAATCCTGTAATTTCTTATGGTGGGGAAGTTCTATATAAAATTTGAGATGTGGTGGATAAATATTTCAATGTCCCACCTACAAAAATAAGCTGGTTTGGTGTATTTTTACTCGTGTTTATATGGTGAAATTACAGTATGTTTATATAGTGGATAATCTGTAACAAATTTTAGTGCACTAAGATTGGGTACTTTTGAGTTTTCGCTGTATCTAGTCTGTTTACTGTGATAATTGCAATTACAGTCATTAATATGCGCCACATTAAATTTTATCTATATAAACATACCATTTCCTTACATCATACAAGTTGTTCTGATTTACGATATGGAAACACTTCATTAGTGTTTATACAATTAAAGACGGTAACGTAAGCAAACCTCACACGGAAGTCTCGTGTGGTTGGTTGTCTTTATGGTAAGTGACCTGAAAAAATAATGTGAATATTTATTTGTTAGGAAATAATGCTTCATAAACTTCAATGTAAATTTTCTTATGATTTTTATTGTTACCTTTAATTAATTATCAGTAGTCTGTTAGGTAGCTAAGTTATATTATTACAGTTGAATGTTATGTAAGTACATAACCGCTTTAGAACAATACATGTAAGCGAACAATTGTTTTCAATCAGATCGTCATCAGGCTTTACTCTAGTATACATGAATATATATACGAAAATTTTAGACCAATCAAGGCTATTTGAGTCAATAATCACAATGAAATAGAATACGTCACCAAGCATGATAGTTAAAAGTACAAGTTGATCGTGGGAAGACAGAAGCCATAGGAATTAGTATTGTATTGTAATGCAATTTTTCAAATAGAAAGTGTTTGTGTAATAATCCCACCAAATGAAATTATTCAGTTCCTAAAGTTTGTATTAACTAGTACACTGACAGTAGTATGATTAATTTTTATTGGTTCTTATTCGACAAAATGAAAATTTTGTGAAATAATCGCTGATATCAATTTTAGTAGTTTATAGATTTAGAACAACATATATAAGCGAACAATATTGTTTTCGATTAGATCCTCATCAGGCTTTACTCTAATATACAGTAATATTTATATGCTTTACGAATTTATTAAACCAATCAAGGCAGTTTATGAGTCAATGATAACAGTGGAATAGATTACATAATCAAAATTAATAATAAGTGAAAAGTACAAATTGATAGTGTAATGACAGGTGTACTAGATGTGATAAGAATAATAAAAGGCTTGAATCAATGTTACATAATACATAATAAGAAAATAGGTCAATTATTAGAAAAATATAGACACTGAAATAACAATCATAGAAATTATAAGATTACGTAATAAGAAGTGTTTAGATAATTGGAAGCGAATATTAGAAAAATTATAAGTAAATAATTGATAGGGGGTGAAGAAAAATAAACGAAGAAAGAGTATGGAAAATAAAATTATTTAGTAAAGCCAAGGGAGGGATAAGGGTGTTACAAATTTATTATGAACACAAAGACTTGGGTTGTTGGATCGAATTCCTATAGCTTCTGCTATGTGTAGGAGACGAGATCGAACCCCATAAGGAAAAGTAGTGGGAATATGATAAATAACTTTAAAAGACTGGTTTCTGTCAACTTCATGACCGCTATCAATCAAGTGTGAAAGAATCGAGCTCCGTATCGACTTGACCATACCTTTTCCTAATCACGAAGGGAGGTGTTCACTAACTCTTTGGTTCAGTTGTTTGGTAGTGCGCCCAATATAGCTTTCTCCACAGGAGCAGCTGAGTTTATAGATACACATAGAATTGGCATAACCAGGCAACTTATCCTTTAGTTGGGGAATCACCATAGATCGTGTCGAGTAAGAAAGAAAGAGGTCGGCAGCATTAAACGTTCTCTTAACTGCTTTAGTCAGTCTATCCCGTAGTACATCATCAGCCAAATGGCCGTTGAATTTCAGTTTCAGGAACAGTGGTTTCTTCGCAGCTGTTGATATCTTTACTTTCTTTTTGTTAAATGCAAGTGTTTCTTCAGGAATCCTTGTGGATAACCCCTTTCAATCGACATATTATGGATAACCTCTAAATATAGATTTGTAATAAATAATTTCATCTGTCAAATGTTAATTATTAACAGGCAGTTAAGCTAATTGTTTACTCATACCGAAAAGTAGTTTGTATTCAGTTCACTGAAAATATATTTTCCAATTTTGTATTCTACAAAGTATATTTCTTATTTTATTCCAAATATGATTCATTTTATTTTAAATGTTATGTACCATTACCAACATTGTTTTCATGTTGCAAATGTAGTAGTGAGTGAATAGGTAACCATGGCACCATTAGTATCATACGTAACACTTTAATATTCATTCAATTTGTAATAGTTCGGGTTATCCCGCGGATTATATCTCGACTGAATTTTGATCCGTCTTTGTGAACACTAAATTTAGGATGAAGGTGCATTCAACCGTGGAGTCGCAAATATGAAGAAATGCGTATCCTAGATATCACTGCTAACCGCATTCCAGGTATCCGATATAAGCTATAATATTCAGCTTTAAAACAACATTCTGGTTGTGTTGTGTTCTTTAAACTAGATGATTTATTTGGGACGCTTTCATCATCGTTATGTTCAGAATAATCACTTACCTCATGTGGGGAAAAGAACATTACCGAAAGCATCTGCTTGAACTATAAATTTTCACCATCAATTTAAGAAGCTTTATATCTCTGAATGATGATGAGTAACACTGAACCAGCGAACTTTTAAATCTAATTATCAGTACTTGGGGTAGCAATAATAATAGTAGAGGTAATAATATTACGTTAATTTAATGTGCATTATGA